TAAAAACTTGGTCTTTGGAAGAAAAAAAATGGACACTGCAGCTCGTGGCAGTGGTGCTTATGTCATTTGACTGGTCCTTTTCATCAGAGTGTTACCTCTGTAATGCTGGTCACCAACAGAAGGTTCATGGAGATCACCAAGCTGGTAAATTTGCTAAAGGATAATCTTTTCTTTCTCTTACTGAAGATTGAAACAATATATGAACAAGTTTTTTTGCTCCTTGGGGGAAAAACAGTTATGACTAAAGATACTTGCATTAATGAGACAAATGGTGTGTTGCTTCATGTTTACTGTGATGGGATCCTCTTATAGTACTTTCTTAAGTATTTGTATAACCCTTGACCAAGACAACTTACAGAAGGAAGGGTTTATTTGGGTTTATAGTTCCAGAGGGCTGATTCCATCCAGGAAGGCATGGCAACAAGAGGAAGGTGTAATGTCTGGAGCAGCAAGCTGAGAGAGCAAACTGGGAATAACACATGGCTTTTGAAACCTCAAAGCCTATCCTCAGTGACATACTTCCCCCAGCAAGGCCATACCGCCTGAATCTATCCAAATGGTGCACCAACTGGGCATGAAGTATTAAAACATCTAAGTTTTTTTTTTTGTTTGTTTTGTTTTTGAGACATGGTTTCTCTGCATAGACCAGGCTGGCCTTGAACTCACAGAGCTCTGCCTTTCTCTGCCTCCCCAGTGATGGGATTAAAGGTGTGCATCACCAAGCCCAGCTCTAAATTCTTGATGTGGCTACTCGTGTAAGGACTATGTCAGGACTGTTCCCAGCTCAGCTGTTTAAAGGGGCTCCATTGCATCCCATTGCCAGTGAAGTGGCAGTGCCCAGTTCTCTAGAGTCTTGTTTTCAACAAAAAAGTAGGTGATGGTTACTGTCACAATAAATAGCCCTTTATATTGGAAAAACTGAAGCAGCTGGGCATAGTGGTGCACGCCTTTGATCCCAGCATTCAGGAGGCAGAGGCTGTGAGTTCCCACCTAGCCTGGACTACATAGCGAGTTCTGGGACAGCCAGAGCTGCATAGTGAGACCCTCTCTTGTGGGGTTGGGGGACATGGGGACAACACTGAACTTTGTGAAGTACTGACTATTTCCTATTCTCTATTTTGTTATGTAGCTTTCTAGACTATCTTTAGACCTAATTATGGCTCTTGTTTTCCTCAGGGTGGCAAAAGGCTGTGTGGTTACTGTCGCTGTGAGATGAGTTGCACAGGGTGGACTGTAAAGTGTGCTGCTGCATATTATCAGTGTATGTTTGGACAGTGTAGCTCTCCCATCCCTCCCCATTAACCAGCTGTACATCACAGTTTCAGATAAATCATTACTCACCTTCACTCTTGATTGTCAATCTGTATACCAAGAGGGATTGCTTTCTTCCATTGTCGTCCAGTCTTAAACTCAAACTTTTTTTTTTTTGATAACTCTGATATCTGCCTTCTAAATCACAGTCCTCCTGCCTCAGCCCCCGAAGTATGGGTTACAAACATACACCACCACATCTGGCTTCTATGAGCCTTCCCTTTTTTTCCCCTTTTTTTTTTTTTTTTTTTTTTTTTTTGAGAATTTCATATATGAGCTACATTATGCTCCCTTCTCCCTTGAACTCCCCTGTGTTCCATGTGAACATTCTTTTGTAAATGTTTTAAAAATTATTTTATTCTATATGTATGGGTGTTTTGTCTACACATATGTGTGTCTGTGACCACATGTGTGCCTGCTGCTTACAGAGGCTGGAAAAGGGCATCAGATCCTCTTGGAACTGGGGTTACAGATGGTTGTTTTGCCATATGGGTGCTGGGAATCAAACCTGGGTCCTCTGGAGGAGCAGCCAGTGCTCTTAACCAGTGAACCATTTCTTCAGCCCATGATCATTCTTGTACAGGACTTTTCATTTCTCTTTGGTAATTTCCAAAAAAGGGAGTGCTGGTTAAGCTTGTTAAGAGACTGCTTTCGTTATATGCTTCCAGCAATAGATGAAGGCTTCACTTACTTTCTATCATTGTCATTATTTAGTGCTGTGGATTTTTGTTTTGTTTTGTTTTCTAATTTTGGATGTTTTTAAGTGGGTATGAAAAGTCTCACATAAGTTTTTATTTGCATTTCCCTGGTTATTAAATGCTGACTATTTTATGGGCTTGGATGAGCCTCTGGGAATCACACTGGGAGATTATCTTGATTAGGTTAGTTGAGTTGGGGATATCCGCCTACTGTAGGGGGCACCAATCCTGAATTGTATAAGAGAAAGTGAGTGGTGTCTCTACTTCCTGGTTGTAGATGTGATGTGAGCTGCTGTTGCCTTAACTGCCCTGTCATGGTAGACTGTACGTCAATTGTGAGCCAAGATAAATATTCATTCCCTTATGTTGCTATTGTCTAGTGTTTTAGCGGTTGGAAGTACTTTTTAATAAATATATCTGTAAATACTTTTCTCACAAATATGAGCTTATCAGTATACATTATCATCCTTTCATCATACCAATACATCGTGACTTTCTAAACCCATGGCTAGACACTGATCTCTCAGAATTTTTGTGGCTTAGATACTGTGTTGCTGTCCTTTCTTGGACACTTAGTTTAAATTAAGTTTGAACTCTTCATAAGTGCACGTTCATTTTTGCTTAATTCTTTCTTTGGGTGAATTTCTAGAAGTGAAATTTGTGGATCAAAGATTTCACTTCATTTACAGAAAAGGGGGATTGGGTGGAAAGGTAGGGAGAGAGCCTGAGCAAAAATCCACATTTTAATTTTGAGTGTGTGTGTGTATGTATGTATGTATGTATGTATGTATGTATGTATGTATGAAAGAATGTTGTATGTGTATCTGGTATGTGTACGTGTATGAGGGTGGTATGTGCATCCATGTATACATGGGGATGCTAGAGGAAGACACCAGATGTCGTTTGCTCTCACTCTGCCTTATTCCTTTGAGACTGGGTCTCTTACTGAACCTGGAGTTAGGCTGGCTGCCAGCAAACCCTAGTGGTTCTTCTCTGCTTCCCCACAGCATTGGTGTTGCAGGCAGGCACATAGCCATATCTAGGTTTTTACATAGTTGCTGGGATTTAAACCTGAACCTGAATACTTGCACAGCAAGTTCTCTTATCCACTGAGTCCTCTCTCTAGCTCAAGAATTTACATCGTTGAGACTTTAAGCCTAAAATGTCAAATTGTGATCCAAATAAGTTGTAGCAGTTCACATTCCTGTCAGGTTTAGAAAAATGCACTCATTGTTCCTATTCTCGAATAGTAAATGTTTCCCTACATCATTGCCAACTTTCTTTTTGCTCCAAGGGTTATGGTCTCACTGGCTGATACTTGAAATCCCAGCATTTGGGAGACTGAGGTAGGATTGCTGTAGGTTCAAAGCCTGCTCAGGTTGGTAGTTCCTGACCAGGCCAGTGTGAGACCTTACTACTCCTTGAGGAAGAGAATGGTTAATGGGGGAGGAAGAAACATTCCCTTTTTAAAAAAATATTATGTTGTGTCTTTGCTTGCATGTATGTCTGTACACCACATGTGTGCAGTGCCCACAAAGGCCAAAAGAGGGAGTCAGATCCCTTGGAACTGAAGTTACAGATAGTTGTGAGCTGCCATGTGGGTGCTGGGAATTGAACCCATATCCTCTGGAAGAGCAGCCAGTGTTGCTGAATGGTCTCTCTCCAGCCTAAGACATTTTCTTCAGTGGTGCGGCCACTGGTGAAGTGCTTATGCTTCTGTAAACAAATCCTCACCCACTCCTGTAACCTACCATAGTGAAACTCACTGGATCATTAAAAAAAAAGAAAGAAAAAAGACTTGAAAGTGGCAGGGGCAGCTAGTTGGGGAAGAGGAAAGGGACTAATGGAAGTGAAATGGGAAAGGAACATATGCTCAAAATACATTAAATGCCATAGGATGGAGCAATGACTCAGTGGTTCAGTGCCATAATGAGACCTATTACTTTGTATTGCACATTTTTAACTAATAAAAATTAGCTATTTATAAAAACAAACAAATGGACTGGGGATGTGGTTCAGCAGGTAGAGTGCCCACCTAGAATGCATGAAACCCTCAGCTTGGCCCCCAACACTGTATCTACTCCTGTAATCTCAGCACTTAGGAGATAGAAGCAGGAGGAGCATAAATTCAAGGTCATGAATCTAAATCTCATTCAGTTTTACCAATAAAGACCCAGGAGCCAGATGCCAGGGTGAAAACCTGCTAGCTCAAGAGAGGCAGAGAAAGCACCTGGCTAACCTGCCTCCTCTGCCGACATCCCAGAAACTGGTTGCTTGCTCTGCCTCCTAACCTATGGTTGACTTTATTTAATCCTGTTTATAATATTGTAGCAGAAAGCTCTTAGATTAAAGGTGTGTGCTAGGACTGAGCCACATCACAACTAGAAACAGGTTTTTCTAGTAAATAACACCAACTTGGGGTTCATGGTGTGATCAAATATCCTGCAACATGGTCATCCTTAAACTTCATTATCAAGTTTGATGCCAGCCTGGGCTACACAAAACCCTGCCTCTCAAGAAACAAAGAAATCATGGCCGTGTTGTGTTACTCAGGTTGTCTCAAACTTCTGGGCTCAAATAGTCTTCCTTCATCAATCTCCTCAGAAGCCAGTGTGCCCAGCTTCTCATCTTTTAACTGGTATTATTTATGAAGCCAACCATTTCTCATGCTTACTGGCCATTGTGGCTGTTGGTTTCATGAATAGAAAATGTTCCCCATTAATCGGTCAGTCTTTCTGATATAGCAGTTCTCAACCTATGGGTTGTAACCCCTGTAGGGTGTTGAATGACTTTCACAGGGATTGTCGAAAACCATCAGAAAAACACAAATATTTCCCCTACAATTCCCAACAGTAGCAAAGTTATTATTATAAGATAGCAACAAAAATAATGTTATGGTTGGGAGTCACCAAGAAACTGTGTTAAAGGGTCACAGCACTAGGAAGGTTGAGAAGCACTGTTCTAATCGTTTCTTTTGTTGTTTTTTTCCAGGAACGACTGAAGCTGGTGACTGTGTTGGGTGCTGGTCTCCTCTGTGGAACTGCACTGGCGGTTATCGTGCCTGAAGGGGTGCATGCACTTTATGAAGAGGTTTTGGAGGGTGAGAGAGAAAGACCTTACTTGAGGAATGTTGATAGAGTTAGTGGAATTTCTCCTGGATACAGTTCATGTTTGTCTTAAAAAGGGCGTTTAGGAGATATCTTTAGGCACCTTAGACATTGAACACATCCTTAGCAGTTTTTTGAATGCCATAATTCATGAAGGCTACTTAATATTCATTTGCAATAATGAGTGATTTCAGCCTTTTTAAGTGTAACAGTTCTTATTTTGTGTGCATGTATGCGTTAATATGTGTACACATGAGTATGGAAGCCAGAGTTGATGTTAGGTTTCTTTCTTTGTCTCTCTGAACCTTTTCTTCTTATTATGTTTATTTGTTATTTTGTATGGGGTGGGTACACACATACTATAGTACGTGTGTAGAGGGCAAATGACAGTTTGTGGGTGTCTGTTACAATTAATAACTAATACTTAGCCTGTGATGGTCAGGATATATTTATTAGGTAGACAACTGGCAGGAAAGCAGAGCAAGAAAAGCAGCAGGGAAAGAGAGTTACCATGCGCGTTCCCTAACCCTTTAAACCTCTCCCATGTCATCCTGACATCACTTGACCATACCCTGACGGGCGTGGTCAGGCATGTCTGTAGCCAGCCCTTAGGAGGCGTGGTTACGGTGTCTCCCTACAATTCCCCTTTTAGTCTAAAAGAGGATTAAAACTTAACAGTGTAAAGTATCCAAAATTAGCAATCATAAAGGTGAAATACAAGTAGATGCAATAATCTGCTATGTCACATCCTAACTATGTTTATATAACTAAAGCCTAAAGTCATCTGAAAGAGGTGTCCAAGCCTGAACACCTCCTTCCAATCCCAACCATAAACAATAGGAAATTATCCCTAACTAGGTGTACATTATCCTTAGTGACAACAATGGGGGAACGGGGGTGTAGCATTCTCCAAGTTACTTCCTGCTGAAATGGGACGCCGATAGCCTTGTGGGGTCCTGTAGGAAGAAAATGTTAGTGTAGTGAAAGTCTCGAATGGATTTTATCCAGTCCATGTTAGGTGGGATTTGCTTGATTGAAGATCTAGGTTGAAGTCCATATCTTGATTGAAGTTCTTGTGTTGATTGAAGTCAGTACCCAAAGCTCTGGCTGGAGTGTCAGTTGAAACAGAGCAAGTTGGATCCAGTGTAGTCGAGGAGGTGTGGCCCATTTTCTTTCTGGAGTGTCCAGGGATTGTTGTCAGGCAGGTCTTCATTTGGCTGTGTGGGACTCAAACATGAGTGTTAGCAGAGAAATGTTTGCTTGTATATGTATGCATACCGGGAAAGGCAACCATGAGAAAATAACAATTATGAGAGGGTGTACACCTTGAGAGAAAGAGCCAAGAAAAGACAAAAGACAGTCCCCCAATTTTTCTCTTATTCTGTATTACATCAATTGGCTTCTTGATATAATATAGAAACTCTAAAGTTTAGTTAAACAACGTGCTTAGATTTTAGAGGAGGCAAGCCAAATCCACCTCTAAATCCAGCATTGAGTTAATTGAATGGGGATTAGTAGACAAAGAGAAATAGGTTTAGTGGAAATTGTCCTATGACCATTTTTCTTTTGTCTGATGGTTATAATTACCTCCTCTTTTATCCATGTAGTGTCCTTTGACTTCTGGAAATGAGTCCTTAAGATTGAGTCAGGCTTGCTTGCAATCATCTCCACCCACTCTGCTGTTTCCTCTTATCTCAACCTCATTTCTTTTTTTTTTTTTTAATCATTTTTTAAAGATTTTATTTATTTATTATGTATACAATATTCTGCTTCCATGTATATCTGCACACTAGAAGAGAGCACCAGATCTCATAAGGGATGGTTATGAGCCACCATGTGGTTGCTGGGAATTGAACTCAGGACCTCTGGAAGAGCAGCCAGTGCTCTTAACCTCTGAGCAATTTCTCCAGCCCCTCAACCTCATTTCTTGAGACAAGGTCTCTGACTAAACCTGGAGCTCACAGTTTGGCTAGACTGGGTGGCCAAAGAGCTGCAAGGATCCTCCTGCCTCTACCTCCCCAGTGCCAGGGAAATAGCACCACGCCTGGCTTTTACTGGGTACTGGAGATTTGAACTCAGAGAGTTGACTCTTTCCCATGTTGCCCATATTCTGGAAGACATTACTGAACTGCTATTTTTTTCTTGAGGTGTTTTGTAGAATTTATTGGCGGGTTTACTATCTGGGCCTGGTATCTTCATGTTGGAAAGTCATTGCTGTGGCCAATTCCTGAGAAGAACCAGCTTGAGGGAAGAGACATATTTTGGCTTATGGTTTAAAGGGATCATGTCCATCGTGGCAGGAAAAACCTGGCTGCAGGAGTAACTCACAGCTATGGATGGAGTCAGGAGTGTGGAGTGGCTGGTACATTGCATTTTCAATTAGGAAGTGGGGAGAGAGCGACTCAGGCAGAGGTATATATAACCCATAAGGCTGTACCAGCAAGCCATTTCTTCCAGTAAGGACCCGCCTCTTAAAGTCTCGAAATCTCCTAAAATAGCAGGGGGATGGAACCTATACTTGACACTGCTAAAGCACCCAAGAACCTGAGACTAGCTAGGTAGGTCATGGGCCTAGGGGACAGCTTACTATTTTTCCGCCAAAGGATCATAGCAATGAAATGACTTGTAATGATATATTGCTACACCCATAGTATTCAACCCAGACACATCCCAGCAGTGAGAAGGGGAAGTGGACACAAAGTCCCACCTCTACTCCTAATCAGGAAGCTATTTGCAATTGAAACCTGCTGGGACAGGGACAGTGAATTTCTCCAGTGGAAACTGAGTATATCACACTCCAAGATAGGCCCCATCCCCAGGAGTAGTTGACTAACATAAAATAGACCCTATAGTTTTTTTTTGTGTGTGTTTGTTTTGTTTGGGTATTTTTTTTCATCTCGTTCACTTTCTCTTCTTTTAGTCTGTTTTGATTGTTGGGTGTTTTGTTTGTTTTGTTTAGAGAATAAGAATGTAAAGTTGGGGGAGTAGGGCAGAGGGAGGACCTAAGAGGAGTCACAGGAGTGGAAAGGATATAATCAAAATATATAAAACTTTTTTAAAATAAAAGAGCAGTTGGTCTTTAAGCATTTATGTTTGAAGTGTCAAACATGTGACTATAAATTATGAGTACCCTTGTACCCTTGTTTGGATGTTAGTGTCCCAACCACCTTGATGATCTAGAAGTAAATTCAAATGAAAGGATATTCCTCTTCAATGGCTGGCGCGCGCGCGTGCGCGCGCGTGCGTGCGTGCGTGCGTGCGTGTGTGTGTGTGTGTGTGTGTGTGTGTGTGTGTGTGATCACTAATATTTTTACAAAAGTTAAGTATTCTCTATTCTGTTTGCTTTTTGTTTGCAAATTTTGTATCAACCTAGGTATAAAAGTGTGACTTTGACCACAGCTGCTTTCATTGCACTGTCTTACTTTCTGAGGAGTCTGGCATGAACTTCTCAGATGAAAAGGGAAGATTTAGGTTTGGGGCCCTTTGAAATGTGACTACATTCTGCATAGTGATTTGCTTCCATATCCAGAAGTTTGGGTTGATGGGCAGTTAGGTCTGCATGCCAAAAGCAGAAGACATTTGGGAATGCTTTCATTACAGCCTTTTAACTTAAGGAGTCAATGGCTGCCTCGATTTCAATATAGGAATTAGATGTCTTTGCAGTAAATTAAGTAGCACTTAAAACACAAATGGAAGCTGTTACATTTTGTGGTTTGTTTGCTTCAGGAAAACACCCCCAAGCCAGTGAAACCAAGCAGAATGTGATATCGTCAGACAAAGTAGCAGAAATATCAGTTGTCCATGAACATGAGCACAGCCATAACCACACACAGCTGCATGCCTACATAGGCGTGTCCCTTGTACTGGGCTTCGTTTTCATGTTGTTAGTGGACCAGATTGGCAGCTCCCATGTGCATTCCACTGACGGTGAGTAGCTCTCAGGCTTTCTGGGCTGTGTGGGCACTTTTCAGTGTGGAAATTTACAAACAACTGAATGATTCGGTCTACACCAAAGGCCTTACTTAATGCCAAACTTCTGTTTTCATCAGGTGTTGTGGGACATTTTATTCCATTGGGGGAGCTAGTGAATTGTGGCATGGCCTAACTGTTTATTGGTATGTCAACCCTGCTGGGTTTAAAGCAGTCACATTTGGGTGAGAGTCTAGGATAGAAGTCTTTAATCTGTTTTGTGCTGTGGAACTCTTAGGCAGTCTAAAGCCTGTAGCCCACTGACTGGAATGTCGGTCTTTATAAACTTAGTCACAGCATTATAGAGAATTCGAGGCTATCCTCATCTACTGTAACTGGACGGAATGTTGAAACTACCATCTAAAGACAGCAGAGAATCTCTAAGAGTAAGCATATTCTATGGAGTATAACATTTGGAACAGAGACACCTATCTTTACAGGGGTTGGTAATCAGCATCCTTGGGAGCAACTAAAATTGTGATAGGAACTCAGTCTTCCCAAGTGTCATTATGTGTCTGTAGTCCTAGCACTTGGGAGATGAGGTCAGGAGGATCAAGGCCTGCCTCCACTACATAGCAAGTTTGAAGCCAGCCTGGACTACTTCAGACCTTGTCTCAGAAAGCCCCCAGTGTTTCTGGGACACAACTCAGGACAACCAGAGTATTAAAAAGAAGGGATAATCCTAGTGTTGTGGGGTTTATCCACCAGAGAAGACTACTCAGACATGGATTTAAACTAATAGAAAGTCTTTTTTAACCAGAGAGTGACTACACTGGGTGTTCAGGACTCCAGTGTAGCCCAAGCCTTTCTCAGAGTGAGAAACCATGCCCTGGGTTGACACACCTCAGTTAGCAAAAACTGCTAGCTAGAATCAGAACTACAGAAACCAGAAAGCAAGGTTAGTATGTTTAGAGCCGTTCCCAGAGCTATGGGCTTTGATGGATTAGGATTTTGTTCTTGTTTTGGCTGGGAAGCTGAGGCAAGGGGATTTTGAGCTCAAGGCCAACCAGGGCCACACAGTGAGGCTCCAGTTCTTAAGTAACAATGATAATAATAGCAAACGGAGCATCTCCAGACAGATGTTTCTGTTGCTTTATGTCCTACTACTTAGTGATCCTTTCTCATTCTCATGCAGACCCAGAAACAGCAAGGCCTAGCAGTTCCAAAATCACTACCACACTGGGGCTGGTCGTCCACGCTGCAGGTAAGGTGGCATTGCCCTGAGTCACTAGACACTAAATGCTCCTGGGAGGTTGCTGAACAAAGCCCTCTAGCTTGAGCACAAGCCCTGTTATGTCTGTGTCGAGTTTACAAGCTAAAACAAACTGATTTCTATATTTTTACTACCTAAACACAAATTATAAGGTGGACATGGGAATATACACCAGTAATCCAAGTACCCAGGAAGTGGAGGCAATAGGATCCTGAGTTCAAGACCAACTTGAGCTACTTAGTGATTTCAGGGTTAGCCTGAGCTATATATCCAGACCCTGTCCAGCGTCTGGGCTGTACTCAGTGGTAAAGCATCTGTCTAGTGTGTGAAAGGCCTGTGTTCAATCCTCAGCACCACCAAACAGAAAGGTTATTACATGTCATTGGAAAATTATGCTACTTAAAGTAATAATGCTGTTTTAGAAGGCAGCTGTACCCACATGTGTATGTCATCACCTGTGGCTCATTTTGTAGAGTAGTGGCAGAGCTGAGTAGTCACAAGAGGCCAAGTAACCTGCAAAGCTCAACTATTTCATGCCTGGGCTTTAGAAGTTTTTTTTTACCTCTGCCCTAAGATCTATCTGGAAAAGAGCCTGGGGGCTTGAGCACCAAATAGTCCTGCTGCCCAGTGTCGGCAGAGGTGGTAAGCAGAAACCTCAGCACTGCTGGTGGGCCATTCTTTAGCACCACAACCCAAACCTAGACCTGATGGTGGGATTCTGTTCGAACCAATTAAAGGCGTGTGAAAAGTAGCTCACTCCTAGCCTGTTGTTCTTGCTTTCTAACAAAATTCACCCATGTCACACTCCAGAGGCGGTGGGACCTGGGAGAATAGAGTCAATAAATGTGTCAGATTGAAGTCTCATACAATAGCCAACTTTCTTCAGAGCCTCAGACAATTTTACTCTGAGGGTTAAGAAAAGTCACATGGTGCTGAAGAGATGGCTCAGTGGTTTAGAGCATGTACTGCTCTTCCAGAGGACCTGAGTTCAATTCCCAGCACTCACATCAGGGAGCTTGCAACCACTTCTAACTCCATCTCCGAGGGGGTCTGACATTGTTGGCTTACATGAACGCCTGTACACACTTACACATATACAAAAGTTCTCATGAGTTCAAACTGTATACAATCATAAGGACAAGCCACACATGGCAAAAACATGGCCATAGAGACATATAAAGGATAAACATATAATTGAATAGCAACAGCAAGCAATAATGAGTAATCTGAAGTAAACTCACTCCTAGCCACTATACCTGGAAAGAGAATGAAAACTACATTCCAAGAACAATTCCGTGCTCTGAACAAACTGAGATCACAAGACTCTTGTCTTGTTTTCTTGGAGTGTTCTCACAGCACTCAGAATTCTCCTCACACAACTCCAGCCCTAAACCGTGTTCCAACACACTCATTCAGCTAAAGTCCCTGTCTTGGCTAGTTTTATGTCAGCTTGACATAGCTATAGTTATCTGAATGGAGGGAGCCTCAACTGAGAAAATGTCTCCATAAAAGATCAGGCTATAGAACATTTTCTTAAATTAGTGATTGATGGCAGAGGGCCCAGCCCATTATGAATGGTGCAGTCCTTTGACTGGTGGCCCTGGGTTCTGTAAGAAAACAGGCTGAGCAAGCCATGGGGAACAAGCCAGTAAGCAGCTCCTCCCATCCCCATGGCCTCTGCATCAGCTCCTGCCTCCAGTTTCCTGCCCTGTTTGAGTTCCAGTGCTGACTAACTTTGATGATGAAAGTAAGCTGAATAAACCCTTTCTCTTCAAGTTGCTTTGGTCATGGTGTTCCATCACAGCAATAGTAACCCAAACTAAGACAGTCCCCATCATGTGTGAGTCATTTGTGTTGAGACCTCATGTTTTGAAGACAGAGATGCCCACCCTTGAAATTCTTCAGCACTACTATTATTACAGTTGGGCTCAACAATCAATGGATGTTGGCATTTCATACCTTTTTAGGTTTTTTGTTTGTTTGTTTGGTTGGTTTTTCGAGACAGGGTTTCCCTGTGGCTTTGGAGGCTGTCCTGGAACTAGCTCTTGTAGACCAGGCTGGTCTCAAACTCACAGAGATCCACCTGCCTCTGCCTCCTGAGTGCTGGGATTAAAGGTATGCACCACCACTGCCCGGCCTGCATTTTAGACTTTTTTTTTTAACAATAAAAACAGCTAACATATGGACTACTCAGAGCCAGATGCTAAGATCTTTGCATATATTCTTTCATTTTTAGCCCTTACAAAGCCCTAAAAATGCATGTTTTATTGACCCCGTCTTAAAGATGAAGTTCAGAGAGGTTGAGTAACTTCCCCAGAACCAAGTCCAGCTCTGCCTGGCTTTGAAACCCATGCACTCACCCCTGTACTGCTGTCCTTGATAGCATCTTCTGTTTCCTTGTCTCCAAATTTAGCGGATGGTGTAGCTTTGGGAGCTGCAGCTTCTACTTCACAGACTAGTGTCCAGCTAATTGTGTTTGTGGCAATAATGCTACACAAGGTAAGCCAAGATTGGATATTGAACATATTCATAATTAAAATTTGTCTTGGTCCTTGAAGCATTTCTGAAATGTGATTTTTTTTTTTTTTAGCTTTTAAAAATGTATTTATTTATGTGTGTGTGTACATGGGCATACATGTATCACTGTTAGCATGAGAAGGTCAGAAAACAACTTTGTGAAGTTGGTTTTCTCCTTTTACCTTTACCTGGGTCCTGGGGTTTGAACTCAGGTCTCAAGGTTTTCACAGCAAGCAACTTGACCCATTCCCCCTTCCCCCTGTTTTTCTAAGTTTTTTTTTTTTTTTAATTGCTATCCATTTAGGAGAATTAATATGTTTGTTCATAGCTAATTTTTTTAACTTTTATCTTCTTAAACTGCTATTTGAAGGCCTTTATTTTTTGTTTCATATACAAAAATGGCTAAATTCTTACTGATTTCCAATTTTTAAAGATTTATTTTATTTTGTATTTCATGTATACTCCTGCATGCCAAAAGAGGGAACAGGATCCCATTGTCATTGGTTTGAGCTACCATGTGGTTGCTGGGAATTGAACTCAGGACCTTTGGAAGGGCAGCCAGTACTCTTAACTACTGAGCCATCTCTCCAGCTCTCAATTTCTGTTTTTTTGTAGAAATGTGTTCACATAGCTGACAAGATGGCTCAGTGGGTAAAAGTGCTTGCTAAGCAAGTTTGACAACTCAAGTTCCCAAAAGTTGTCCTCTGATTGCCACGTACACACACTGTGGCTACATTCATAAACACAATAATAATAAATAATAATTTAAAAATTCAAAATAATTTTGTGTATGGTATTACCAAGAAATACACACATACACACAGACACACACAGGATTTTCTTTGTGAGAACATTGATTCCTAAAAGGCAAGGCTTACCCTTGATGGGATGCCTAAGTTTTTGTTGTTGGAGTTCATATTCAGATGATACCACATGCATTTCTTCATGTGGAAGCCAGCCCTACCTGTCTAGAGATAATAAGGCCTACTTTGTCGTTTCTAGGCTCCAGCAGCATTTGGGCTGGTTTCCTTCCTGATGCATGCTGGTCTGGAGCGGAATCGAATTAGAAAGCACTTGCTGGTATTTGCATTGGCAGCACCAGCCATGTCCATGCTGACATACTTAGGACTAAGTAAGGTAAGTGTGAGCATCCCTTACTACATGGTCATGTATCTTGTTCTTTTCATAGGTGTTCAGCCTGTAGCCCATGTGCCTGGGGCTAAGAGCTATGACTGTGACCCAACACAAAACCATAAACTTACTGAAACATGATGTAATTTAAAATTTTTTTATCTTATCTAATTTTGTTTATTGCTAACTCAATTGTATGGTTGTTTAACATGAATGTTGTAGATGGTGGCATTATGTCACAGTATCAAAAGGCTCAGTAAACCTGGTAGGATATCTTAGGTTGAACTTTTGATGTACAGTATTTTCTCAAACTAAGACAAAAGTCGAGAATAAAAATCTGTATAAGATAAATGTCTTAATTCCAAATTAGTCCTTTTAATGAATTTAATATTTTATTCATATAAATGGAAAACTTTGCTATCAGTTCTAAGAATATTTGCATAAATATAGTAGAATTTCAGTATTTAAATAGTATCATTTAACCAGCCATGCTTACTTTGTTTGGCAGGTAGATAGTAAGTCAGGACCACCCAACTTTTCATGCTGAGGCAGACACAGGAAGCAAGCAAGACAAGCCGTTCAATGGCCTACAGTAGAGTAGAGCTGGAACAGAGATGCTGTAGGCAGCTGAGATTCCAATTCTTTTAGTTTTTTATCCCTGAACATAGCTTCAGACTTGAAATGTCAGTTTTCAGCTTAGAGCCAACATACTCCATTTCCAGGCCTTATAATCCTTCCTATTTTACCTAAATGCCGGTGAGTAGAATCTATGAGGAAAATCATGGAGCCAAACTAATGAGAGCTGGTTGGAAGGAACTCCCCACCCCCATCTCCCTTAGAAGGTCATTGATTCGTCATTATATAACAATAAATGTGTTGAAAGGAATGTTGACTCTTCTGGTTTTTTGTTGGTTGGCTGCTTGGTGGTCATGGGAGTGAACCACCCAGGGCTAAGTAAGCACTCTCCCACTGAACTGTAACCCCAGATGTCTTTTTCTTTCTTCCTCAGTTTCTGTTCTTTTCTCATTTAAAAAAGTAACAGGAAGAACAGGAAAAGATTTAAGAAAGTATATATGGAAAATGAATGATTAATGAGTGGTTAGATTCTGTTAACCAGGGTCTGTTGATTGTTGAACTTGAGTCTAACAAATGAGTTCTTACACAGGGCCTTCTCATTCACTCAGAGTGCCTTAAAAGGATAAGGAAGATTAAGCCCAGGGCCTTTCACATGCTGGGCAAACACTCTGCCTCTGAGCCACCTCCCCAGCCCTGATAGTTCCTTTTCAAACACCAGTCACTTCACTGACTGCTGTGCCTTTGAACTCTCCATGAGAAGCTCCTGATATTTCAGAAGCATGGTGGTGCATGCTGACTGGGGCAAGTCTGTGAAGTTTTAAACAAGGACCTTGGCTCACAGGTCTGTTCTTTTTAAAAGACTGTGACTGGTTGTATAAAGATTAGCAAGTGACAACAGGGATGGTGGCACACATCTGTAATCCCAGCACTTGGAAGGCAGAGACAGGAGATTCCAGAGTTCAAGCCTAGCCCCAGATTATACTATGACACCTGTTTTAAATAATCAAAAACAACAAAACCCAGATTAGTGAATGTTGTGGAATAGTACTTTAACTAGGCAAAGATGTGTTACATTTGTTTAACTATGTAAAGATGTGTTGCATTTGTTTCACCTTGCCTGCCTAAGGCACCTAATTGGCCTAATAAAAAGCTGAATGGCCAATTGCTAGGCAGTAGAGGGATAGGCAGGACTGGCAGGCAGAGAGATTAAGGAGGAGGAGGAGGGGGAATCTAGACTTGGGGAGAAGAGAGAACAAGGGAGAAAGAGAGGGAGATGTCCTGGGTTAGACAGGCAGCTGCCAGTCAGCCAGACACAAAAGCAACAGGAAAAGTAGGATATACAGAATGAAAGAAAGGTAAAAAGTCTCCAGGGGAAAACATAGATGAAGAGAAATAGGTTAAATTTAAGTTATAGGAGCTAGTGGGACAAGCATAAGATAAGGCTGAGCATTCATAATTAATAATAAGTCTCCATGTCATGATTTGGGGACTGGCCATCCAAGAAAGCCTACTACGAATGAATGGGATATATTTTAAGTGCTGTGAAGCTATGTAGCTATTTTTTGTTGTTGTTGTTTTTGTTTTTTTTTTGTTTTTTGTTTTTTGTGTTTTTTTTTTTTTTTGAGACAGAGTCTGTCTGTGTAGCCCTGACCTGGAACTCACAGTGTAGACCAGGCTGGCCTCAAACTCACAGAACCACCTGCCTCTGTTACATCTTGATTAGTCTGTGTCTCAGGCACCTGGCCTGGTATACAGAGGATACTTGTTAAATATTAGAACAATCGAATTATGATAAAATTCTGAGATTCCATCTCAGAGGTATAAATGAAACCTTTCAACCAACCAACACTTGAAAGTTGCTTTGGAAAGCAACTGTAGTTAATGTAGCTTTCATTTCAAAATGGCAAAATTTTAAATGTTCTCTCTGCAAAAACAAACATTTGAAGTAATAGATGTTAATTAGTTTGATCTTATTATTTCATTTTTTTCTCAAATCATAGTATCTATATAATGAAAATTGTGAATTTCAACTAAATTGTAAAGCTGAGATTGTATGTTGTCACTGGAGTTCTTAGACCTTTATGTGACACCTCTGCATAAATGACAGAATTCCAATCTCAAGATGCCTCCATATACCAAGCAACAGCAGGTATAAATATTCAGGTTTAGTTGGGACATCCTCCTGTCTCCAACTTTAATGTGACTTTTTTCCTTGTTGTCTCTTCTAATTCACAGAGCAGTAAAGAAGCCCTTTCAGAGGTCAATGCCACTGGAGTGGCCATGCTTTTCTCTGCCGGGACATTTCTTTATGTTGCCACTGTCCATGTCCTCCCTGAGGTGGGCGGAATGGGGCACAGCCACAAACCTGACACCAATGGAGGGAGAGGCCTCAGCCGCCTTGAAGTGGCAGCCCTGGTTCTGGGTTGCCTCATCCCACTCATCCTATCAATAGGACACCAGCATTAACCATTCAGATTCCAGCCTCAGTCCACGGCCATTGCCATCCAGGAAGAAGAGCTAGCGTGTGATGCTCCTCACTTCCTCAGTGTCTTGTCTCACCTTGCCCATCTCCACCTGTGTTCCTAGAGTCCGAGGGAGTCAGGCGTGGAGAAGTGGAGCGGCGTGTAGCAGGAACATTGTAATCAGACAGACTTTGTGTTGTCTTTAAAGGGACTTTGACATATTGAGTTGTGATGTTTCTCTTAACCCTATTCTCAGGGAAGATGGAATTTAGTTTTAAAGAAAAGTGGAGAACTTCATACAATGAAATAGTAATTATGAAAATACAGTGTTCTGTAATTAAGCTAAAGTTTTTTCCCTCCTTAGTTTAGAGGCTCTACCACTTTACCCATTGGTTTTTAACATGGTTATTATCACCGTGTAAGACTGGTGCTTTAGCATCTGTGCCACATGCCTTGAGAGAAGGCATGCACTCACCCTCTTAGATGCTAAAGGTGACGGCAACTGATTTGAGGTTAGAGTAAGGAAAATAAGGACCTGTACCCAAACGAGATACCAGTCGAGAGGAGATGTCTAGAGTCTTGAACAACTCCTTTGCATGTGCCTCCCCAGATAGAGCCTGCCTTTCCTTCCAGTAGAGCAGTGGTGGTGGGGCTGGCCTTTGAAGAGGGGTCTGATGTCTTACAGCATTTTCTGAAGTACCCTTTTCAAGGGACCTGTCTGCAGCACATTCTTCCAGAGGAGCCAGATGCTGTTCAGGCACAGGCTTTCCTTCAACAACAGTATGATCACAGTGAAATTGAGGGATGTTAAACTTTCTGGGAATTTGGATAGTAACTGACATCTTTGTAGTAACCTTTTATAAAGTAACACTATTACAAAAGTTATGTTGTCCTTTTCTGCTAAGCCAGTGGCTCTCAACCTTCCTAATGTTGTGACCCTTTAATACTATTCCTCATGGTGTGGTGACCCCCCCACCTTAAAATTATTTTCATTGCTACTTCATAACTGTAATTTTGCTACTGCTGTGAATTGTAAAGTGGATATCTGATATGCAGCCCCTGTGGGAGTCACAACCCATAGCTTGAGAACTGCTGTTCTAAGTATTTCTGTTAGCCAGCAGTCCTTTTGGCTAAGCCTTGTCTAGAGTGGAGAGTGTTTCTGTGCAGGAGTGTCAGAAGGGAGTATCTGGCTAGCCTCAAGCTCCTTGCAATCATGTCTGCATCCTCCTCTCCCCGTGCTGGGCTCTGTCCCTCCCCACCCTTGTCCTGCTTCCTGTCCCAGCCGAGCCAGTACCTGTGAGAGATGAATGTCCATCAGGACAGCCACTTCTGAACCATGGTGATGCAAACAGCACTGTCCCTAGTCTTCAGTACTTGTGAGAGATGACTTCCCATCAGGACAGCTACTTCTGAACCATGGTGATACAGACAGCACTGTCCCTGGTCTTCATTCCTTTCAATAAGTTACCTTTGTGTCAAATAGAGCTTTATTAAGCCCTTTAAAAAGTCACCTCTTCATGTGTGATTGACACATCACTAGTACTCTGATAATTTAAGCAGTTGAGACAGCAAAAGTATTCAACAAAGGTAGTTTTTCCTGTTTGCCAAAATCTGCCTAAATCCTGTTTTGTCAGATAAGTGTATAATACTGCATTAATTTATATTTTCTGTACCATTTCAAAAACACTTTACATAAAGAGAGAGCCAAGACTAGTTTCTTTAGAGCAGTGGGTGCAGTCGTTTGTATTTTTCTATGACACCTATGCCAGCATGCCTATGGTTTCCTTTATTTCTCTCCTAATTGTCACTGGGTCAACAGCTGCGGAATTAAACTAGCGAGCCCTCTGCTGGCTTCAGTGAGGAACAAATGTAGCAGAATGGGTGTGGTTTTGTGTGGAGGCTGGTAGCCATTGCACCCCAGGTTAAACTGAGAAGGAGCGCAGTGTGGGAGTCAGGGTGACTGACCCCTGATTAGGCACAAACAGCTGTCTTGGCAAAGGTTGGGTCTCATCGAGTCCTTCCAAAGTACAGAAGTTGTGATTCTTTCTAGAAACTTAGTGTGTCAGGTAAACAGCCAATGTCTGTGTCTCTTTTGGTTTGGGTAAAAGTAACTAACTTCTGTCATCTTACTACGTGCAGTGGTCAGGGATTTGTTGAGCCAACCAGAGCCTCTTTCAGCAGCAGTGCCTTGCCATCTGTCTTATAAGCTTGGCTGGAATATCTTGCTGAGTAGGGCCACAGACTCTGGCAAGGACTGAACCATCAAACTTCTAAATTTGTGCGCACCCCCCCCTCCCTGCCCCAGGCCTCAGTAGTAATGAGCTTTCCAAAGCTAGGGCCTTTCCGAGGCCCTGAGCTGCTGCCTGGGGACTGCTCATCCCTTCCATGGTCAGCAGGCTCAAATAGCCATACGAATCTTAATAGGGCTCAAATTCATTTTAGGCAGCAGGAATCATGCAGCAGGGCAGACTACTGAGAGAGGTCGCTCATGTGTTAGGCAGTGCCCTCAGAGAGGCCACCTTGAGATTCTCTTTCCAACGTGTTTCAGTTGTTTTCCTCCTTAAAACTCCCTTCGGAGGTGTGGATGCCTTAATGCAATAACACATTTGAACACATTGGTGATACTTCAGCTACTGCCATGATTACCAGTGAAACTATGGGCTACCAAAGAAGTAATTGATAAAAAGCACGAGCCATTCTTTGTAGCCAAAGCAATCTTAATTGCAATTGGAGCCCCTTTCTCTGGGAGAGGTAGATGTACAGACTCTAAACAAGCTCTTAAAAGGTAAATTTACGTTGAAAATACTGATCCACTCCCGTCACTGGCTCCCCCGTGTTGTCAGTCTCCATGTCAGTGGAGCAGAACAGTGGTGTTCCTGTTTGATTCTGCTCCCCTGTGTGGACTATTGCCAGCTTGTGTCTTACAGGCAGACATTGTGGCCTGGAATGCCAGCGGTTGGGACAGTACCGCCCACCGAGGCAGTGTGTTCTCCCCCATTTCACCTTATTCCCCAGATTTCTCAATTAAAGACAGCTGAGCCAGCCTGCTCTGGAATCTTGGATCATTAGAAAAAAGAAAGGGAGGGCCGTTCGGAGGTGTCTTTTCTTGTAGAGAAAAGAGTTTTTTTTTTTTTTTTTTAAATCAACAGTTTGTCACTGGCTGGTTCTCCTTCTCAAGGGTCAAAACTAGGAGGAAACACCAGCAACAGAGTGTGTTAAGGCCTAAAACTCATGGTAGTGAAGTTCTGAACATGGGAACTGTATGCCAACAGCACAAACCTCAAAAATGCTCGCCTTTGGGCCAGGGCCCCAGACTGTGGCAGCACAGGAGGACATCCTCGACAGTCATTCTACCAGAGTCCTTGCAGCAGTCGATTTCTGCTGAGTACAGAATGGGCCTTGTCCCTGAAGAGCCCTGCTGAAGATACTGTACAACTGCAGCCTTTTTGTACTTGAGACATCAAAGTTCAGCTCTGGAAGGAGACCTGAAGGTGTGTGGCTGGTGGGGAAGGACTGGCAGACATGTTGTACTTACTTCTTTAGATGTGCTCAGTCCAAACACAGCTGCTAAACACAGAGAATGGTTTCTTCGCTCTTTGTCTGGTTGTGTCTTCCAATAAGCTGGGAGTCTGATGGGGTGGTAACACCACAGTTCTCCTGGTTTGGTGGCCTGAATGGTAATCTCAAATGTCCTTTCTCTGGATCCTTTGTACACATAAACTCATTCCATGGATGGCTGCCTTATAATTTTGTCTCTTTCCACTTTAATTGTGAATGGTTTAAAAATCGCTGTTTTTTGATTTGTTTTATGATATTAAATTTTTATTAGTGCATACCCTATGTGAATGGCTCTTTATCTATACATTGGCAATATTTGTTTTTGGCAACCAGAACTGACACAGATCTGAACATCAAAAAGTTGGACAGTCAGGATGGCTCAACTGCTGCCAGGCCTAATGACCCGGGTTCAATCCCTGAGACCCACGTGATGGAAGGAGAGCACCAACTCCTATGAGTTGGTCTATGATTTCCACACGTGTACTGTGGTATGTGTGCCCCACACCCATACAAACAGAAATGTGATTTAAAGATTTGGAGGTAATGGTAGGTTGTAAAAGAACAGAAGAAAGGTACCTTTTAGACAGAAGAGGAGAGAGGGGAGAGAAACGAGGGACCCAGTAAGCCACTGCTCTAAAAGACAAGTCCAGTGACAACCACACCCTCCCTTGCTGCTCATTAGCGGATAAGCTTTATAGAAGTAGTTTTTCAAAAGAGAAGCAGGCAAGTGGATCATCACCCACCCCTTTCAAAGGTGAGAGGTGTTATGTGAGCATGTACATGTTATGATCAGTGGTGTCTGCAAAGAGATACTTCAGTACAAGAACTGACTTGAATTAGGCGTGGCGGGGAAGCACGGATGGACATGCCTCTCAGTGTGGAGGGCAGAGAACAACTTTCATGAGTTCCTTTACTTCCCTGGGTTGGTTTGGACTTGGGCTGCCAGGCTTGCTTGACAAGCCACAAGCACCTGTACTCACTGAGGCATCTCACTGGCATGTGGAGTCCTTTTTTTTTTTTTATTGATTAATAACATGTGTATTTGTTGTATTTATTAATGACATGCTCATGCCTGTTGACATAGCACTCCAGAGGCAGAAGCAGGTGACTGCCATGAGTTCAAGGTGGGCTAAGGAGTTCAACCCTCGTCTCAACAAAACAAAACAAAACAAAACAAAAAACAATAAGCAGGGTCTGGGGATGTAGCTCAGTTGGTGGAGTACTTGTCTAGCGTGCAGAAAACCCTGCATGTTCAGTTTCCAGTATTGCATAAAACAGAAATGGTAGTTGATTGTGTGATGCTAGCTCTCAGGAGGGGAAGGCCGGAGGTCAGAAGGTCAAGGTCATTCTTCACTGCATAGTTCAAGGCCAGCCTGGTTTGCATGAGACCCCCCAACTCAAAAAAAGTATTAGGATATTAATTGTACAAAACAATGTATTTCATTTTGACATTTGTGTACAAACATGTAATGTACTTTAATTATATCCAGCCCCTTATTACCTTCTGTTGTCTCTCTTCTCCCCTTTCTGCTGGCTTCTTCCAAAATAGTCTGCCTTCTGCTTTTGTGGTTTCTTTGTTATGATTTTTTCCCCCCACAGGTCTCATTATGTAGTCCTAATTCATCTGAAACTCACTATATAGACCAGGTCAGGTCAGCCTTGAATTTGGAGGTCCGCCTGCTTTGGGGAATAAAGGCATGTGCTCCACACCCAAGGTCTGGGGTAGGGTGGGCGATCTATTTTAAAATTTATGTCAGAGCTGAGATAAGATGTAAAATTTGTGGTGTGGCTTATTGGCTTATTGCACATAGCACTGTGATCTCTGGTTCCACCTGTTTTTCTGCAAAGGACATAATTTTGTTCCTTGTGACCAAGTAATACTTCACTGTGTATGCATACACATTTTCTTTAACCATTTATCTATTGATAAGTGACCAACCTGATTCCATAACTTGGTTCTTGTACCTGTCACCTCAGCAAGTATGGGTGTGTATTCAGTATGCTGAGTTTTTAATTCCTTATGGTGCATGCCCGGGAGTGGCATAGTCAGACTATAACCTCCATACTGACTGACATTGTGGTTTAACTAGTTTGTGTTCCCACTGACAGTATTGAAGGCTTTCCTTTGGCCCATCTTTGCCAGAATTTGCTGTTTTCTTAGATGATGGTCATCTGACTGGCTGAGGTGAAATCTTGGTGTTTAGACTTACATTTCCCTGATGGATACAGAAACCAGTTTTTCATATCAAATATTTTTCATGCATTTGTTTTCAATTTGCACATCTTTTAAGATGTATCTGTTCATTTGCTCATTTGTTGGTTGCAATGTTTATTCTTTGGATTTTTTTTTAGTATATATATATATATATATATATATATATAATCCTCTGATAATATATATATAGCCGAAAGAGATTGTCTTCCATCTGTAGGCTGTTTCTTTATTCTGATAATTGTTTCTTTTACTTTCAGAAGTTTTTATTTGATGCAATCCTGTTTGTTGGTTCTTACTATTATTTCATGAAGTATTAGAGGCCTGTTCCAAAAGTTGTCTGTGCTTAGATCTTAGAGTTCAGATTTCCGAATGCCCATGACAGGGTTTCTCTATGTAGCCCTGGATATCCTAGAACTAACTCTATAGCTAGCTTCAAACCCAGTGACCTACCTTTTTGCCACTCAATCCCTAGGATTAAAGGTGTGCATCACCACCCCCGGCTCAGATAATTTCTAATAGATTGCTTCACACGGCAGTATGGTGATGCAGTAAGTGCTATTGTACACCATTAGAGTCTCATATGAATCTCAGGTGCTCCAGATTTCTGGAAAACATCTCTTCATTAAGAAAACCAGTTAGGGCTGCAAAATGGCTCAGTGGTTAAGATCACTGGCTGCTCTTCCAGAGGTCCTGAGTTCAATTCCCAGCAACCACATGATGGCTCACAACCATCTGTAATGAGATCTGGTGCCCTCTTCTGGCCTGCAGGCATACATGCAGGCAGAAATTATATATATAAAGAAAACCAGCGGTGGTGGCGCCTAGCCTTGGGAGACAGAGGCAGACAGATCTCTGTGAGTTCCAGGCCAGCCAGAGCTACATACAGAGAAACCCAGGGGCGGGGGTGGGAGTGAGGTGGGGGTGGGGGGTAGAAAGAAAACCAGCTAAAAATTAAAATAAATAATAAAAATTCTAAAAAGGGAGAGAGAGAAAATCAGCAAAGAGGACATCTACTTGTGGTCCCTGCCACCTCTGCAGGAGTCTTCGTAGAGAAGTGGCATCTGGAATCTGAGGAAGTTCAGTTAGCTTTGTTCTCTGCCTCACTTCTTAGGAGAGGGAAAGACACCAGCCAAGTAGCTGGCAGTCCTTAGTTTGTGTTACTTCTTAGGAAGATCTGGAGTTCAAAGTGAGCCTTGACTACATGAGACCCTGTCATAGTGAGGGTTTGGAGAAGAATATAAAAGCCCAGGCAAGTAAGTGGACCCCATCAGTGTCCCTGGCCAGGCGCAGGCCTGCCTACTCACCATGCAGGCGTTACATGGATGTGGCCACACGGGGTTTCTGGGTCTCTTCATTCTAGCGGCTACTGGAGATTCCCCCCCCCTCCCTGCATTCCTTTTCCCCTAAATTCCTGAGAGGGAACTGAGGCCCCACACTTCTGAGCAGAGTCCTGCTTCATCTGGCGGGCTGCACGGCCTGCCTCTAGCCTTCTCCCCAGTGTTCCTGTGCTCTCTGTGTCCCTGGGCTATAAAAAGGGCGTGTCCTAGGAGTGACCCTGCCCAGTGCCTCCTCTGTGCATAGACCTCTACCGTTATCACCAAAACCTCTATTTTTTTAGGTTATATTTTATATGTATGAGTATTTTGTCTGCGTGGATATATGTGCACCATGTACCCTCAGAGAACCAAAGAGGGTTTTGGATCCACTGGAACCAAAGTTAGAGATGTTTGTGAAGCATCGTGTCAGTGCTGGGAATCGAACCCAGGTCCTCTGAATGACCAGCAAGTGTTCTTGACCACTGAACCATCTCTCCAACCCTCATGTTTCTAGCTCTCCAGCCTGTGATTTAGCTGGCTTTCTGGGTCAGGACAAGAGGTAGGGAGGGACAGCAGAAGCAGGCCTGCTTTATTTTCTTCAGTTGCAGCCTTTGTCCTACAACAAGATTGGGTACATTTAGGGAATTAGCCTGAATATTGGCCCCAGACAGATTTACTCAATTCTTTGAGAATCAGAAATTAACCTCTGTGGGATTTGCACAAGCATCCCAAGCTAATATGGTGCTGAGTGTTGGAAGGCCTTCTCACCACTGAAGGAAGGGTCTCACTGTGTAGCCCAAGCAGGCTCTGAATTCATGACCCACCTCCTTCCACCTCCCACTTGCTGGGACTGCAGGTATGGACCACTCCTGGCTATAGGGCCCACTTCTGACCTATGAATTCTAGAGGGTTTCAAAGTAGCTTACCTTCAACCTTTTTATTGAGTAAAGATAGAACTGGCACTGGTGTCTAACAATGCTTTCTGGCCTGCTGAATTTTGTATTCGGTTCTACATGAGGGACCAAATCCCTGGCTCTCCCTCAGGTATGTTTTGGGAATGTGTGAGATTATAACAATAAATGGCTTACAGGTTTATTAACCAAACTCATCTGCCAAGGTTCAAATAAAATCGCCATCTTCTTAGAAACTAAATTAATATATGTATTTTAATCCACATAGCACCCTCAAGGGGTAGCAGCATAAGCTGAGAAGTCCGTTGCCCCAGGGTTCCAAAGGCCCATATTAGTGCTGGGGAGTGGCAGGGCAGCAGGGCAGCTAGGTGTTCTAGCTAGAAACATCTACCCTGGCATCCTTGGGTGTGAGCACTTGTGTGTGTGAGCACTTGTGGGCAGTTAGGGCAACAGGCCTCCTGGAGAACAATCTGTGAGACTAGTGCAAGGGAGCCCTGGCAGGGCTATCCCTGGTGGCGCAGCAGAGTGGCTTCAGGTGGGTTCCCCCAGGCAGGCAGCCTTCCTGCAGGGTCTGTGGGGACACTGACCACCCAGTCAGGGGAAGTCTTCATGCCCATATAATACTCCCATTTGCCTACCCTACCTTCAACTTTTCCTTGCTTTGCTCGGACCCATGACAGGGCATGTGCCCCACATTACTTCCTGCCCTGGTTCATTCTAACTCAACTTGTTACAACCTAGGGTCACCTGGGAGGAAGTCTCAATGAGCAGGTTGGCCTGCTGTAGGCATGCCTGTGGAAAACTGTCCTGACTGTTAATTGGTTGGGATGGTACCCTCCCATGGGCTAGGCTCTGGCCTGCATGAGTAGAGAAAGCCAGCTGGGCACTAAGCAAGTAAGCAATTATGCGCTCTGCTCCTGGTCTTGGGTGTGATGTGATTGGCTGCTTGAGTTCCTGCCTTGACTTACCCAAAATAGATTGTAACTTGGAATTATAAGCCAAATAAATAATTTCCTCTCCTATGTTGCTTTTTTTGTCGCAGAAACAGAAATGAGATGAATGCTGTCCCCTTGCACAGCAACCCTGCCTGCATTAGAAAGTTCAATCACAGAAGGAATGGAACACAAGAAAAAGGAGTTTACCGGGGGAGTGATGTGGGGAAGGGCGTTACAAATGAAGAGTCATTTGCCCTGAGTCTGTCTAAGCAGGGCTAAGAAGGAAGAAGAGCAGCATTCTAGACAGAGGGAAGAGCAAGCAGGGAAAAGACACAGAAATGCATGACAGCCAGAACATCAGAACTGGGGTGCGTGGGTGCGTGCATGCGTGTGGTATTACAGCTGAAGGTCAGGAGTTGGGAACTAGAGTCAAAGCAGTGGTGACCAGAGTGATGCCGACTCAGGGGTCAGCTTTAGGCTTTGATGGGGGACAGCTAGTAGCCTGGACTCTGTGGGATCCTGCTGTGTGGGGGGCCCAGTGATCATCCTTGATTCTCACAGCTAATGTCTCAAAAGTCTGTCATTGAAAAGTGGCTTGCACATCCATCTCGGGCACTCCACAGATTCCATTTTAGAGTAGAGGAAGCCAAGGGCCCTGAGATACTAGCCTCCATTTGGTTGGCCAACACGAACAGAAAACCACTAAGCAAAGATGTGTCAATGCAGGAATGCCTGCTGCATACCCTGTTCCTGTCCTGAAGTAGCTTATCTCTAGAAGAACAGCCATCACAGGAGGAAACTCCAACCGAGCAGACAGTGTGCTAGAGTACAAGAACAGCAAGGAGCCACCAGAACCAAGGCTATCTGAAACTGGCCACAGCCTTTCTGTGGGCTCCAGGGTGAGAGTCTGAGTCCTGGAATTAGGGTTAGAGAATGGAGATATTTGATGCTGCTCCAAGGGCTGGCCGCTTCTACTTCTTGCTCCTCTAGGGATAGTTGGGTGCTGCGGTAGCTCAGAGAAGCCAGAGCTGTATCATTCCTGGGTACACACCTGGAATCAGGGAAACAGGGAAAACAGCATTCGTCTATGGTCATGTGGGGGGTGGGGTCAAGGACAGAGTGGGTAGGGAGCTGAGGAAATGACACTGGGGAAAGAGCCACTTTTGAACATGTTGCTGGAAGCCTTTGTGGCCCAGTCTGGGTGTAACTCCAGTGAAACTCTTGTCTCCATTTCCCTGCAAGGAGTGTTTCATTGCCTTTTTGTGAGTGTGTGAATTAGCCTGTCTAAGAGCAGAGAGCTCATCCCCATTAGGTTTCATTCACACAGCTCCTTCCTGGAGGCTGCTTCTGTAGAGTGGACTGTTAACACTCCAGTTCCAGAGGACCTGACACCCTCAGGGTTCCTGCATGCACACGGTGCACACAAAACCCACTCAACTAAACATATGTACACATAAATTTTAGGAATGGTCTCTAAAAGAACCCCGAGGTAAGTTGTCAATTGAGAAATGACTAACACAGATAACATTCAAATGGCTCCATTCACAAGCTGTGAGCTACAGTGCGAAGGTCTACATTCAGAACATGTCAATACACAGGTCCACCATGTTTCAGGAAAAGCCTAGCTGTGTAACCTTGAGTACACAATTACTGTTTTTGATCCAGTGTCTCATTATGCAGCCCAGTCTGATCTCCAAGTTGTGATTCTCCTGCCTCAGATTCCTGAATAATAAGATTACAGAAGTGTTTCTCCTGAGTGGTAGATAACTTAAAAAAACAAAAACAAAAACAAAAACTGAGCAGTGCACCTCAGAGTCTTAGAATACAAGAACAAGCCAGATGCCAAAGCAAAAGATAGAAAGTAATGAAACAGGGACTGAGAAAATAGAAAAAAAAGCGAAACAGAGTTAAACAGTAAAACGAAGTAAACAGTTCTTTTTAAAAAATTCTAAGAACCAGAGAAACCCTTTCTCAACAAAACAATAAGTAAATAAATAAATAAATAAATAAATAAAGATTATTTACATGTATGAGTGTTTTATCTGCATGTATGCATTCGTACCACATGTGTCTCTGGTACCCCACGGAGATCCAGAGGGCACTGGATCCCCTGGAACTGAAGTTATAGGTGAGCCACATGTGCTGGGAATTGAACTCTTGTCTCTACAAGAGAGCAACAAATGCTCTTAACCACTGAGCCATCTCCCCTGCTCCTTGAGTTAGTTCTTTGGAATGACAAACAAGCTTGACAACTTTTAGCCAAGCTCACCATAAGAAAAAGAGGAGAGCAGTATTAGGACAATTAGAGCAAGGGATGGTGATGTACACTTTTAATCCCAGCACTCTAGAGGCAGAGGCAGGAGGATTTCTGTGAGTTCAAGGTCATCCTCATTATAGCGACTTCCAAGCCAGCCAGGTTTACTCAGTGAGATATTGTCTCAGAAAGAGAGAGAGATAAGAAAGACGTGGAAGTGGGACTTGATACTGTTCCAACAGATACCAATGGCATCCAGGATCATTAGGGAATATTTTAAAAACTTGTGTTCCAAAACGATGGAAAATCTAGAAGAAATGGATAAATTACTGGGGCCATATGAGTCACTTAAATTAAGAGTCAGGTAAACTTTTTTAATCTTGATTTTTCTCATGGGGCAATGAAGAATAAAACCTTCCCCTCAGCCTCTTGTCACAATTTAGCCAATTTAGGTGAGCTGCAGACAGCACACTAAGAACAGCAGCTCCACATCTAACCAGGAGATTGGGGGTGGGGCACCTTTAGCCTGAGTTTCCCCAGGCTCATTTGATTGTTATGATTGGGCAGTCCTGGCCAAGTGTGACAGTACACTCCTGTAATCACAGCACTCCAGAAGTGGAGGCAGGAGGATGACAAATTTGAGAACAGCTGGATTACGTGGCAAGATCCTGTCTCAAAAAGGAAAGGAAGGAAGGGAGGGAAGTGGGAAGGAAGGAAGGAGGAAGGAAGGCAGTCAAGCTCTTAGGCAGCCCTCACTTACTTGGTCCTCAGCCCTGGTTTGTTTGTCTTCCCTAGACCTCTCAGTGTGCATTAAGACTCCCATCAGCTGGGCAGAGAATACAGTGGAGATGGAAAAGCTTTGCCCATGCCTGACCTGGCGTCATCTGGGCTGTTTGACAAGGGAAAGAGAATCACTGAAGTGTCTCACTGCTTGCCTCTTACAGTTTTTCTGCCCAACATTAACTGTTAGCTGACGGCTGTCCGGACATCTGCCCCACATGCAGATGACATGAGCAAGACTGGCTTCTCTCGGCCACTGAAGAAACCTAGGCTCCATTTCTTTCACCACAGATCGTTCCCAGGTGCCCCCGGGCTCACTCAGCCCTTCCTCTTGAAAAAACCTCCCATGAGCGGTTCCGCCCATGCAGAGGCTCCCAAGCTCATCATTGGCCTTTACTACAAGGAAGGCCAGAGCTGCCACTGACCTCATTCAGGACAGGAAGAATGAATTTGCTAAAAGGCTGTCAGGAGGGCCAGAGAACCAGGTCTGAGGGGAGGTTTCCAGAACAATACTTCAAACCCTGCCTGTGCCACAGAGCATTAGCTGCTGCTGTCCTGTGCTCGCTCCCAGGAGTCTGACTCCTAGTGGCTACTGCTTCAGCTGGCAACCTTGCTACCGCTGCATCAGGAAGGCAACCCAGAAGCCACAGTACCTTAGGCACCTGCTTCCCTGGAAAAGCACATACCTATGCATCCTGCTTCCTTGTGTTTATCACCTGCAAGTCAAGACCCTACTGTGCTCCAGAGAACACGATACCACAAGCTCTTGGTGCAAGTTTTATTTGGTTGGGTTTTTTTTTTTTTTTTTGGTGTGTTTGTTTGTATCTAAGAAGAGCAGGGCTCCTAAAGTAAGAAAGGTGTCCAGGCATCAGGATTATAAACTTGAGCACCTGCAAAGGACCAGAGGTGTAACTGAATGGAAGAGCAAATGCCTTGCTTTTAAAAGGCTCCAGGTGTGATCCTCGGTAAGACAAAAATAGTCTTTATGGACTATAGAGAAGAAAAGCTGGGCAGGTAAGACAACAAGAGATGACAACGATGAGGTCTCTGAAGGATGCCCTTTAGGGCATTCAGGTCAAATATTTAAAATCATTAAGTAAATGGTGAAAGTGAGGAAAGATTGAGAGCTGGCTGGAGAAGTCTGCTAGGACTGGAAAGGTCTATATCTCTCTTGGGTGGTGGTTACACCGTGCATGCATTCATCAAATGAGCCCTTGTAACAAGGTGTACTAAGTTTGCCTTGATGGTGCTTGCTTAGGGCCAGTTAATCAAACCTGGGCAAACTGATTTGGCTTTCAGATTACCCATTTACTTGCAAGCTCTGATGCCATTTCACTCTTTTATTTCACACAGAGAAATCACAGATCCTGAGGGAAGAAAGTGGTTTCACTAAGGGCATGGGTGAATCATGACTGCCCCTGAGGGGCGGCCAGTTCTCAGCCTAGAAAAGACTTAGAAGGAGGAGAAAGAGGGGAGCGGCTCCAGTCTGCAAACAAACCCTTCTTCACTTTTGGAGTGCCTTTCCACCTGCAGAGAAGGAGGCCAAAGGCAGTCACCAGACCTGGCCAGAAAGTCAACAAATGCCTACACTGAGAACGGAAGTGCACAGAGCACAGGTAGCCCCAGGAAGCACAGGAGGCACACAGATAAATCACGATCACAAACTGCATTGACAGTTTGAGATTGACACTGAGTGTCAAATGCCGGCACAGACTGCCAAGTGCCAGGAAAAGAAATTCAATCTGGTCTAGGCAGACGCGGCGGTGCAACGTGAAACCCACCTGCAGGGACAGGGAAGGGCCCCGAACCTTGCTGGAACCTATTTTTCCGAGGCGGGTCCTTGGGCACTTACCGAAGTCTTAGCTGGCCACTGGCCTGCCTCCAAGAGGTAGGAGCGTCTCTGCTTTACAGGTGAGAAAAACACGGTCCAGCGGCTTGCAGAGCCATTGCAGGCCTGAGTTGGAATCACTAGTCCAGGTCCCTAACACCACGCCCACGGCCAGAGGCGAGCGGGTGTTTACCGAGTGACTCCTGCTCCTCACCAAGCACACCTAGCCAGCGTTTTAATGTAGGCACCACAGACTATAAGGGACTGGGGAAGCGCTGGGCTCCTGGGTGGGGGTGGGGAGGTGCAGTGGCCAAATCCCGGGCCGAACGACAGGCCGGGACCCTGCGAACTCACAGAGCTGGGCTTTCTGCAGCCTGCT